ACTTGAAAAAAACACGGGGGTGCTTAACTTTTTTCCAGGTGTATATTTCATGAAAACAACATTTTTTGTGTATATTTGGTCATCTCCTGTACATTGTCCTTGATTATAATTTTATGCATATTTTTATGCTATATTAAAATGTTCTTCTTGATAAAGCCATATAGACTGAACCATGCAGAAAAACTGGTTTTCGAAGAAATATTCATACATTGTTAAATGTCTGACCCTGTGATATATTAATTGTGATTGCAAATGCAATGAATTGTATGGTGAAGGAAAAATTCATGAAAGCATAACTTTTCATAAAAAATGCTTACACATTTTTTGACTAAATTAAAAAAAATTCTTACTGAAGGTGAAAAACATCAATAATAATGTGTTGTATTGTCATCTACTGAATTGAAAAGATATTTAAGTTGTTTTTTGTACATACAGTCACTCTTGTTTATTATGTAATATATTATCCCTTATTTAATCTATAACTGTTTTTGTAGTTTTCTTAATATTCAAAGCACTTGTTGTAAGTATGATAATAAACATAAGAAAAAACAAACATAGTAATAAAAAAATTAACATAAGATCCCAACTCAACTGGGAATTGAAGAAGACTTCCACGTGTAATTGAATGTTAAAAAAATAATTCAAATCCCTAAGGTAAAGTATCATGTCATTGTGTTTTTTCCTAATATTGTATTATCTTTCTCTAAACATGATGAGTTAATAATTAAAAAGTTATAAAAAATCCCCACTCGACTGGGATTTGAATTTGAGACTTTTGCTTGAGAGTTGAGTATTACCGACAATGGGACCATTCCGAACAGAATGGCTTTTATCATATATATTGCATAACTTAACAAATAATAGATATTGTTATGGCAGTAACTGATTGGTTGCAACAGACTCGAAAATACATATTCAAATATACGTGATTGCACATTATAAATCTTGATCATTGCTAGAGAGTTAGTCCTTACCTACATTTATTGGTCATGTATAGTAGCTGAATTGTATGTAATGTGGTCTGAAAATATTAAGTGTTTGCAAATATAATTTCATCTTCATGCACTTCAGCAAATCTGCAGTAGCTGTGGCCACCATCAAGTGAGAATTTTTGTACCACATGTCAGATCAGCAAGATATAGAACAAGTTATTCAGATAGGTCACTCTCAATGCTTGACTGGGGCTTTGCCAATAAGAAAGATTGTTTGTTTGTTTTTAATTATGCACAAAGCTATACAAGGGCTATCTGTGCTCTGCCCACCACTTGTATCGAAACCCGGTTTCTAGCGTTGTAAGTCCGCAGACATACCGCTGTGCCACTGGGGGGCTCCAATAAGAAAGAAACATGCCACATTGGAACTGGCTGTACCAAAAGACTATTCAATTCTGTAGACTGACAATATAAATAAAATGTCAAACAAGACATAATAGTTACAATACTTAACATCCTTAAGAAGGGTGCTTCCAATGGGTCAAGTAGGAAAATCATTATGATGCAACATATGATATGAACTTCCATATAAAATTGTGTGACAGCTTTACTATTATATATATGTTTTAATGTTGATATTTGTTTTTTAAGTTGAATTTATATTTAGAAATTTACATAACTTATACTGTTAAATACATATTGCGAAACTCCCGCC